AGCTGAAACCTGCGAAACTTCAGCTTGCGGATTTAACGTCTGGGGCTTTGCGCAGCTGTCATGGAATCATGCACACACAAGCGGATTAAGACCTAAATTGTCGTAGAATCCAAAACCTATACCCCTAACGTCCGAAACCCTGATAGCCCTAAACCAGAGGGTTTGTTGACCGCAAACCGTTCAGGTGAAGGGGTTAATCAGGCTGTTTAAATTCTCCCTCCGCATGGGCTGGCAAGCTCCCAGAGCCCTGCTCTGAACCCAATGAGGGTTTTGGGGTTTAGGGTTTANNGGGCTTGTGCTTTGGGACATGGGGGGTTTAGGGTTTAGGGCTTGTGCTTTGGGGTTCGTGGTTTGGGGCTTGGGGCTTGCGCTAAGGCTCCGAAAAGATTCCGTTTTGGGTTATTGTCAGGTTGGTCACCTCCAAAGCCCGGAAGCCAAATACGGAGAGGCTAATTAAGAAGCTCCTCAACCTGCAAGCCTCATTAAACTGCTTGAACACTAGACAGTATGAAGCTTGCAGAAACCTCTCGCAGCCTGTTGTTTGTGGCTGTTTCCTGCAAGTTTACGGTTGTGGTCTACAGTAGTACCACCAACTACCTGTCTCTTGAAGGAGGAGCGGGACAGTCATCGCACCGCGCTGCACTATGCCTGCGAGCTCGTGCCCGAGAGCCTTGCAAGACTCTGGGATGAGTGGTGTGTGTGTGTGTGTGTGTGTTACGACAACACATTTGAGCAACAGCATCAATAGCAGCAGTCAGCGCAACACTTGTTTCAAGACAAAAGCCACAGTTGCGATAATCGTGTGAGTATCGTAATCTTAACCATCAGCTAGTTACAGCCGCAAGTCGCAAGCTAACCGCAATGATGAGACTGGTCGCAGTCCCGGTAATCAGAGCAAGCGCGACAACAGTAAGATAGGGTACAAGCAAAGAGCAAGAGCATTCCGTTGTAGTAGGTATAGCCCCCGCATAGTACCTAAACCCTAAACCCTAAACCGTATAGTACCTAAACCCTAAACCCTAAACCCAGTAGGAACCGGTGCACTTAAAAAACCAGTAGTCCCTGTATGGGTATGGTATAATGTGTACCAACCATCCTAGAGGCCCCTGCAGTAGGCTCGGTAATCCGGCCCGGGGCCCAGAGTCCCAGTCCCACAATTCTCGCGCTCAGGGTTTAGGGTTTAGGGTTTAGGGTTTAGGGTTTAGGGCCCCCAACCCTGAACCCGAACTAAACCAAGACGGGCGCTTAAGGCTAAGGGCTTTTAGGGTTTAGCTCTAAAGATCTTAAGTCTGCAGCCAGGGTTGCTGCAACCCTCGAACGCTGAAGCCCAGACAGAATGGTTGTTTGCGATTCACGACCCTTATCCTAAATCCGTCTTGGGATCTCGGAGGCCGCCCTAAAGCCTTGTAAGCATTTATAAAGAGCACTTTTTTTAGCACCAGGTTTAGGATGGTTTAGGTTGTCTCATGTCGGTGACTGTTGATGTGATGGCCTTGCTGAAACCCCACACCCTCATCTCTGAGCCTTCAAGCCTAGGGTGTTTAGGGTGAACCAGGACCGGACAAGCTGACTGCCGAACCTCAACCCGCAACCCGAAACCCCAAACCTTATCCCTAAACCCTAAACCCTGAGCCTCCTCTGACAATCTTGGTTTGCCGGCACAGGCTTAGCAACGTGCTCATCGTCAAGATGCTGATCGAGGC